CATAAGCCAACGGTTTCCAAAGCTGGCGCTGGCGTTTGATTGCGTACGCTCGTTGATGGGTACATCAAAGGGAGGTTTGGACAGGATTTGTTGCGGTTCTAGTATTTAGTCGTTTGTCTGCATTCGATAAGAGGAGACTAGACGCTCGACATTAGCATCGAACTCAACCCGACGCGGTCCAACTCGAAACTAAATTTAGGTGTAGACGAGCGCATTCCAATACCTTCCAACAACAAACGCCAACGTCACATGTGCTGGCACTCGTTTGCTCGGCGTGGATTTTCGGTCTGTACGCGGCTTTACAAACAAGGTGGAAGCCATCAGATGATACACACTTATAAATGACTAGATGAGTGTACACTACACACGTGTGATGTATGTCAGCTCAGGCAGCGCGATGGCGTCCTTGCTCCAAAGGAACTTGATCCATCCTGTATGGATGAATAATTTCCCAACAAGGGTTCTTCCCCAGTGACGTCTTCTCTTGCATATCTGGGGTCATTCATTATACCCACGAATGCGTGTGCGGAATTCAGATTTAAATTAAAGGAGACAAGAGCTGTGCCTCTTCATTTTATTGTTTTTGATATGTAAACGTTCGCTGAATATCAGAAATGAACGACTGCGTCGTTGTGTATCCGCCCACGATTGAACGTTGTCATTTTATTTCCCTTTTGTGTGAATACGTACGCTTCATGGTGTTTCTATAGGATTAATTAAGATGGGAATGAATTTATATCGCATACGTAAACAGAAAATCCAGTGGTGTACCTTATAGAAATGCAGGTACACGTACACCAACACATCGTCATATTAAAACCATTTTTCATAACGCTCTGAGTGACCGTCATATGACAGGACGCGTCAAATGTTATATGACCAACATGATCCAGACTGACTAGGATATGTTTGCTTTCTATCTCTGCGACGATAAACAACCGTACGTAACGTTGTTTTATGCCTTTTAGCAACCAGATGACGGAAAGCAAACAAGAAAACCACAATTTCCCGGCACCTCGAAGAAAAGGATCCGCTGATAAGAAGTCGGACAAGGACGTCCACCACATAGTTGTTTCGTAGTCACTCAGGGTAGTACTAAATACTTACCACGCTATCAGCATTGACGTACGATGCAAGAGTTGCATAAACAGATTGAGCAGGATATATTTGCTTTGCGTCTCTACGACTATATCCGTATGCAATGTTGTTTCATGCTTTTTAGAAATCATCAGTACGGTATAGACATTTGGAGACAGATGGCGGAAAACAAACAAGCGAATATGGTCCAGTGGAAACTACTGATGTGCGAAAGATGATGACACTTGGAATCAGAGCTGTCAAGTCTTTTTCGAAATATATAACGAATATCACCTCCAACAGGTATTTTCTGGTCGAAATGTCTGGTAAATTTATATAAGAAAACGTTACACCTTTATTAAAATTAAGCGTATTAGCCGATATAAAGTAGTCTTGAAACAATATGTCATTTAGGGATGGTGGGGTAAATACGTTCAAGGCTGAAACTATTACAGTTAGGATATCAATGTTTGCGATGAGGATAGTAGAATATGGGCTACTTTGGACACCCCCCACCACTTCCACTTAGGCCACGCCCACCGCATGCTCTGATTGGCGGATTAGACGGCGGGAAATTTGAACGGGGTTGATGGTATATGTTGATTGGCGGGAACCGCTAGATTCACCGCGTGCTCTGATTGGCGGATCAGACGGCGGGAAATTTGAACGGGTTGATGGTATATGTTGATTGGCGGGCCCCGCTAGATGCCGCACCCGACCGGAAGTGATTCAGACAGCCGACGATAGTAAGGTGTAGTATAACGTCTATGCGTAAGTGATGTGACTCATTTCATGTTTTGCGGTAAATATTTGCATATAGATCGATAAAAGCCGATGAATAACGGTAATTATAGATGCAATTCTGCGGATTCAGTTCAAATGGAAAAACGTATAAAATTCGCGGAGAACAATGCGTATAGGATGATCTCAATAGTCAACACGTCATATTCAGTGTGCATATAAAAATGGAATTGCTCATATGTGGTGCATACAGTTAGTTAATTTTTAACATTGATACAATATTGAAAACATAGTACAGTCTATATTGTGTATCTAATAGATTCCAACAAGGCAATCACCTACGTCGCAAATGAGGTTAGGTTCAGCGCCGGTGTAGTCGTAGCGGTGATATGCAAGAAGTACCGGGCGGGGCTGTCAAGCATGGGTGAATGGGCAGGGAGCGCAGGCTGTCAACGAGTTAATACCGGCCAGCGGTGACCTTGAAACACTGTGGTCAGTTAAAAAGTGGTGGGGGTAAAATTGAGATTATAAATACCTATGAATCACCGCAAATTATCTTGTCAGTTATCTACAGCGAACAGACGTGCTCAGTTCAGATTTAGTCGCTAGTTAACGTTTTAGTTTTTAAAAAAATGGAAAAATTCTTCGTCGTTAAGGATTCTATTAAGAAGATTAAAAAATTTAATCTATATGGGCGAGAAGTGGAATTTAAAATACGACCTATCCCTAAAGACGTCGAGCCTGTGGGATGGATCAAAGACGCTCTGGAGGAAATAGTAGCCAAAGGAACTGAACATCTCCAGCCCAGTGATCAAGTTGGATTCACTTTCTGTTCCAAAGACTTTACCCGCGGTCAAGGGTGGATAGCTTTTAAATCGTTTTCCGACGTTTCAAATGAGGACATATGGGAGAAGATATCTTCCATCTATCAGTCAAATTCTGTGGGGTTGAATACCGAAACTTTTTGCTTGGGAGTTACGTCCATAAGGTTGCCTGCTGGTCGTGGTAGAGGTCAGAATTTCAATACTTTTGATGAGGAATGCGCCAAAAGAAGAGGTATTATCACCGTTAAAAACACCGATAATTTGTGTCTCCCACGAGCCCTTGTCATCGCCATGGCCCATTTGAACAAAGACAAAGATTATAGCAGAATCCGCCTCGATCGAGGAAAAATACAAGGACAAAGAGCTGTACAACTTGTGGAAAAGGCTGATATTGTTATCCCTGAGGAGGGGTGTGGAATACCTGAACTTCAAAAGCTACAACGATATCTGCAAAACTACAAAATTGTTGTATACAAGTTTGGGTGCAAAGGTCGTGACGTCATTTTTGAAGGCGTGTCCACTGGTCCGACGCTTAACCTAATCTATCACGAGGGGCACTACAGCGTCATAACATCCCTCACTGCTGCTTTTTGCTGCAGCTATTTTTGTGAGAACTGCCACATTCCGTATAATAATAAACAAATTCATAGATGTGATAAACAATGTTATGCTTGTAAAAGATCTCCGGCCTGCCTGAAAACGAAGCACATCGAATGCAAAGAATGTAATAGAAGCTTTTATGGACAAGAATGTTTTAACGCTCATTTACCATCGGTCTGTTCTAAAATTAAAAGATGTGTAGACTGTTTTAAAGTTCACAACGGTAATGATCACATCTGCGGACATATACTTTGTAAAACATGTTATAAAAATCAACCAATTGAACATATGTGCTATATACAGCCTGACAGAAGAATTCCAAAATCAAATGATGTCTTATTAATATTTTACGATTTGGAAACCCGTCAGGAGAAGGAATTACCCAACGGATCTTTACTTCATGAGCCAAATCTATGTGTATTCAAACAATGTTGTGAATCATGTACCGATAATCCTATATGCAAGAAATGTGGCCTTCGATTACAGATTCTTCGATGTCAAGACGTCATTTCTCCATTTATGCATCATATTCTGACACTTCGTAAAAAATTCAAGAAAGTCATTGTACTGGCGCATAATGGTGGAGGATTTGATCATCAGTTTCTACTTCGTTACATTTTAGAGAAGACTAGTCTGTACCCAAATGTAATTATGAGAGGAACAAAATTAATATTGATGGAGGTAGGAAATGTAAAATTTCTGGATTCTCTCAATTATTTTCCTATGCCTCTAACTGCTCTACCCAAGGCGTTTGATTTGAAAGAGCTAAAGAAAGGATACTTTCCACATCTATTCAACACTTTGGCTCATCAGAATTATCTAGGGCCAATTCCAGCGCTCGACTTCTACGATCCCGACCATTTAAAAGAAGACACTCGGGAAAAATTATTAAAATGGCATGGCGAAAGAGAAGCGGAGGGATACGTTTTTGATTTTCAGAAAGAAATCGTTGAATACTGTATCTCCGATGTGGAAATATTGACACAGGCGTGTCTCAAATTTCGAGACCTGATGAAAACCGAAACCACAGTCGATCCCTTCCAGGAAAGCACCACTATTGCATCATGCTGTAACAAAGTCTTTAGACGCAATTTTTTAAAACCTGAGACGATCGGGGTAATTCCAAAAGGGGGCTATAGATGGCGTGAAAATCAGTCAAAAATTGCCATCCAATGGATGTTGTGGGAGGAACATCAAAGAGGAATCAAAATTCAACACGCCGCTAAGGGTATAGAAACCATTGTTAAGGGACATAAAGTAGACGGTTTTTGTAGCGACACAAATCAAGTGTTTGAATTCCAAGGATGCTATTTTCACGGTTGCCCTCGATGTTTCAAATACAACAGAAGCAATCCTCTGCATAATGATCCGTTGAATACATTGGAAAGTCGATACGAACAATCAGTTAGCAAAGTAGAGAGACTCCGAAGCCTTGGACTAGAAGTAATTGAGATATGGGAATGTCAATTTCGAGGAATGCTAAACGATGAAATTAGAGCCTTCACAGAAGCACATCCATTGATAATCAATTTACCGATTAACCCCAGAGACGCTCTCTACGGGGGACGTACAGAAAATATCGTTGAATACTACAAGATCAAAACAAATGAATGCATAAAATATGTCGATATATGTTCCCTGTACCCCTTCATCTGTAAATATGGAAAATTTCCGGTGGGTCATCCAAAAAAAATTTACGTAGGTGAAGAATGTGTTACAGCCTCTCTGTCGCAGATGTCAGGACTTATTAAATGCCAGATTCTACCGAACCAGAACTTATATCACCCCGTTTTACCGTCAAAAATGAACAACAAATTGATGTTTGTTAACTGTCAAAAATGTGGTGAAGATTTCGTTCGAGAAGAGTGTCAGCATTCTATTCAAGAAAGAAGCCTAAAAGGAACTTGGGTGATAGAAGAGGTGCTCAAAGCTATTGAAAAAGGTTACCAGATTATAGAGACTTACGAAATATGGGAATACGATACAATTCAGCTCAGTAAAGACCAAGAGGGGTTATTTAGCGGAATGATGAACAAGTTTCTACAAATAAAACAACAAGCTTCAGGATGGCCCAAACATTGCTTAACGGATGAAGAAAAAAACCGTTATATTGATGCATTTTTGGATACAGAGGACATAAAGCTGGAATTTTCAAAAATTATAGAGAACCCCTGTTTGAGATCGTTAGCTAAACTTATGCTGAATTCTTTTTGGGGTAAATTTGCTCAAAAAGAAAACCAAAACAAAACCTCAATAGTCAGAGACTGTGGTGAATTCTTTGATATGCTGACTAATCCTTCTATTCATGTAAATACAGTTCTCCCGGTAAACGAAGAAACCCTTCTCGTAACTTGGGAATTTAGAGAAGAGGCGTATGACGTTTCTTCAACGGTTAACGTTGTATTGGCTTCATACGTCACGGCCCTAGCTAGACTAAAATTATATTCATTCTTGGAGAAAGTGGAAGAAAGGGCAGTTTACGTAGATACAGATTCATGTATTTATATCTCTCGTAAGGGATTAGACGACATATCTACAGGCGACTTCATAGGTGATATGACCGATGAGCTCAATGGGGGTTTCATATCAGAGTTTGTTTCTGGAGGACCTAAGAACTACGCCTACAAATATACTACTTTGTCTGGAGAGGAACAGATCGTATGTAAAGTAAAAGGCATATCACTCAACTACAAGGCATCCCAAGTGGTCAATTTTGAGAAAATAAAAGACATGGTGCTGAAGAAATCTGATCCTGTTTCTGTACTTTCTCGACAGCTACGACGTACAAGAGAGCATGCAGTAGTAACAGTCGAGTTTCCTAAGCTATACAAGATAACTTCAATGAAAAGGAAATTCTATGAAGATCATACCTCTGTACCATTTGGATTTAAGAAAATAAAATATTGATTTATTAATGTATGTAAATATTTTTTAATAAACATGTAAAATAAAATGTATGCAAATGATTTTTTGTTTTTTATTTCCCGCCTAATTGAAAAATATTTTTGCACCCGAAATTGTTCAGCCTTTTTACTCCATATAAAATATTTAAAAGTATGCATTGTTATTATTAAACGCCTGCAGTAATATACACCAAAAAAATTGAGAAGCAGTGTAACCATGTAGAACTTTGTATAATCACAAAAAAACATATCTTGGAAAATAAAAAATACAGCAGATTCATAAGCAGTGTAGAGAGGAAACTACGTAAAAGTAATCGATTATTACTAATAAAATAGAGTTTTGAATTCCTATTTTTACAATAATAATCATTTTACTATCTTACGTGTTGGGCACTGCACTGCACGGGTACCAACACTGTACTGCACGGGCACGAAAAATTGAGAAGCATGATAACCATGTAGAACTTCGTATCACTACGTAAATGGTTATTACGAAAAGTAGAAATAAAAACTCTATTTTCGATAATAGCTATACTATTTTTTATGAGCACCGAAAAAATTGAGAAGCACGATAACCTCATAGAACTTCGAAACAGCACCAGAGACAACCGAAGGCTACAGAAAAAAAACACATACTGAAAAGGCATAACATCTATCAGCGCTGGTATCCGATAATACTGTTTCCTTTGACATTCGTTGGGATATGAAAACACATATTTGCTTCCCACCGTTATAACGGAAATAATAGTTACTGCAAAAGCAGTTTCACAATAAGACCATACATTAATCTACAAAGTTGATAATAAAACATATGTACTATTAAAATGCAGATATTTTTAAAATTATACAATTAAAAAATCAAAATAATATATTATAAATGGTAGGGGATACAGGGTAAACACCGAAATATACTTAATTTAGAATAGTTACCTATAATCTCCTCAGTTCTTTGGTCAGCCGTATCGACAATTTACCGGTGGGTCCTCTATTTTTGTGCATGTAAAAGGTTAGACTATGGCGCTAGCAAAAAAAAAACAAAATGCAACAAAGTAGAGTCACTTAATATTCTTGTTGAAGTTACGGATAGAATATGGTAGAAAGTAACAATCAGATATTGTAGAAGCCATGTAATTGTTTAATTGTTGAGGAAAAAGTATTTTTCATACGCTGACCATGTTTATGTCCGCTTGGTACGCGACCAGATTTTTTCCAAACCTTTGCCCGTAGGGTTCATGAGCCGACGACCAAATGTGTCGTCGAAGGGGCATTTTTGGCCAAATTCGGTCGAAACCGATGCTGCGTTCGTACCCTAGAGCCTACGAACAGCGACTCAAACTTAATTTTAATTGATTTGCAAAGATCTTGCTAGAATACTTGAGCTAGTGATTATATGCAATTTATCGGTGACGAGCTTTCCTCTAGCATATCTTGATTTATTCAAGCGAATCAATGAGAAACTAGTGAATAAAATTACCTGACAGCCATAGTACAAGTTGGTATATCTACACCTTCTCTTACATTTGGCGCCACTAAAATGTTAATCTCCTTGTTTCTAAAAAACGATCAAGTACTTATCTGTTCTTCTTATTAATCGGAAGTGATTCTACGGTGCTATTAAAAGAGTTTCCGTTATATCCCACAACGAAATCCGGCTTTATATGTCTGAACTCTGGTACATGTTCACTCAAATCTTTCAGTACATGGTGCAATATTTTTGGCAGTTGATCTTTCCTTCGTGAATATTAAACCACAAATGTCTTCGTTTGAAGATGAACTGTTGAAAAGTGTTACGTTTATATTAGTATTAATATTTATGACATTTACTTTTTTTAAAATAGTTAAATACTACGATAAACTGGGAATGTGGGATGAAGCAGAAATGTTTCTGTAACCCAATTTAGGTATGTATAGCAAGTCTTACGCAAGACAATAATAAAAACAGATAGAATTTGAGGGCGATTCTTGGAAGAAAAATTCATAGTATTTCTAAGGCAACACCGACCGGAGTGCTATAATTTTAGCATACATTTACAGGTTATAGGTCTAATGATAAATAGAAAGTGATTAAAATTTTAACTTCAATTTTCGTAAAATAGCTGAGATATGCCATCTTGCAGTAGCCTGGAATGAAATACCCGACAGGTTACCCATCACCTGATAGTCTGTGGTTCTCGCCGCTAGATGACGCTACATACAAACGTCATCTGTCAAACGTTATGTGTATCATTGATAAGTGTGAGTTGTGTCTCTAAGCGCTAGATGGTGTCGATGTCGCACTGGTGTCGTAGAGTGACCCACATACAGGGGTCGATAGAAATTTTTGGGGCCCTACCGACGGGTCGATGAACCGACGGTATAACGTCAGATCGAAATAAGCTCCATTCACATGGGAGGTGTGTGTGGAACTGCTCGTGGGAGACACGGACCTTGTCGTATCTAGCAAGACGTGTCCTAAAATGGTGATACCCATTGGTCGCTCAGCCATACAGGTCGGTCAGACAGAAGTTTTTGGGACCCGGGTGCTCTGATTGGTGGATCAGACGGCGGGAAATTTGAACGGTGTTGATGGTATAGTTGAATGGTGGACGGCGGGGTTGGGTGCGTTGGTAATCACCTATGTCGCAAATGAGGTTAGGTAGATAGTCGTTCAGTGAAGGTGTTGTCGTAGTGGTGATATGCAAGAAGTACTGCGCGCGGGGGTGTCAACGAGTTAATATTGGCCAACGATAACAGCGGTGACCGTGGAACACTGTTGTCACACGGTTGCAAAAGATGATAGGTTATCTCTTAATTTTCGTAAACAACGATTTTTCTAAAGTGGTAAAAACAGGTCGAAATTTTAAATACCTATGAATCACCGCAAATTATCTTGTCAGTTATCTGCTGCGAACAAAACATGCTCAGCTCAGACTTATCTAAAAAGTGGTGGGAAAATCGATATTATAAAAATATTTATGAATCACCGCAAATTCTCTTAGACGTGCTCTTATCAGTTCAGACTTAGTTAAAACTGGTGGGTAAAATCGAGATTATAAATACCTATGAATCACCGCAAATTACCTTGTCAGTTATCTGCAGTGAACAGACGTGCTCAGTTCAGACTTAGCAATTCCCAACGCTCCTCCGTGGCCATTCCCCTTACCCTCTCGCGAGTGCGCGCATGCGCATGCGGCTCGTTCTGGTCTATAGACATATGATCGCTAATGATCTTGAACAAAGATGTCCTGATACCCGAACCGCCAGAGGTACATCAGAAGTAATGTTAGTATTGTGTGTGCGCGTTTTTTGAACACGCTAAGTCGTGATGTACATCACGTGACGTACGTCACGTGACGTACGTGACGTGCGTGTGACAGGTGACGTGCGTCACGTGACACGTAACGCACGTGGCACGTGACGTGCGTCACGTGACACTTGACGCACGTGGCGTACGTCACGTGACACGTGACGTGCACACTTTGTTCAAAAATACCAAAAAGCTGTCTTGATAGCCCGAACCGCCAGAGGTACAACATCAGAAGTAATGTTAGTGCGTGGTTGAGGTTCAAAAACTTAGCGTGTTCAAAAAAAAAACGTACCTAGACCAAAAGTCATTCTAGACCAGTCACTCTAGACCAAAGCACAAAAAAAACGCCGTTTTTCAACGCCTTTTTTGTCACCATTCCCCTTAGTAGCGCGCATGCGCATGGGGCTCGTTCTGCTGGTGCTGGCGCGGGCGTACATAGCGTTTGTGGTAAGGGTTTGGGGTAGGTCTTGTTCTCTTATCGCGCACGAGTAAGTTTGTTTGTTGTGTACCATGGGATAGTGGTAAGAGAACAAGACCTACCCCAAACCCTTACCACAAACGCTATGTACGCCCGCGCCAGCACCAGCAGAACGAGCCCCATGCGCATGCGCGCTACTAAGGGGAATGGTGACAAAAAAGGCGTTGAAAAACGGCGTTTTTTTTGTGCTTTGGTCTAGAGTGACTGGTCTAGAATGACTTTTGGTCTAGGTACGTTTTTTTTTTGAACACGCTAAGTTTTTGAACCTCAACCACGCACTAACATTACTTCTGATGTTGTACCTCTGGCGGTTCGGGCTATCAAGACAGCTTTTTGGTATTTTTGAACAAAGTGTGCACGTCACGTGTCACGTGACGTACGCCACGTGCGTCAAGTGTCACGTGACGCACGTCACGTGCCACGTGCGTTACGTGTCACGTGACGCACGTCACCTGTCACACGCACGTCACGTACGTCACGTGACGTACGTCACGTGATGTACATCACGACTTAGCGTGTTCAAAAAACGCGCACACACAATACTAACATTACTTCTGATGTACCTCTGGCGGTTCGGGTATCAGGACATCTTTGTTCAAGATCATTAGCGATCATATGTCTATAGACCAGAACGAGCCGCATGCGCATGCGCGCACTCGCGAGAGGGTAAGGGGAATGGCCACGGAGGAGCGTTGGGAATTGCTAAGTCTGAACTGAGCACGTCTGTTCACTGCAGATAACTGACAAGGTAATTTGCGGTGATTCATAGGTATTTATAATCTCGATTTTACCCACCAGTTTTAACTAAGTCTGAACTGATAAGAGCACGTCTAAGAGAATTTGCGGTGATTCATAAATATTTTTATAATATCGATTTTCCCACCACTTTTTAGATAAGTCTGAGCTGAGCATGTTTTGTTCGCAGCAGATAACTGACAAGATAATTTGCGGTGATTCATAGGTATTTAAAATTTCGACCTGTTTTTACCACTTTAGAAAAATCGTTGTTTACGAAAATTAAGAGATAACCTATCATCTTTTGCAACCGTGTGACAACAGTGTTCCACGGTCACCGCTGTTATCGTTGGCCAATATTAACTCGTTGACACCCCCGCGCGCAGTACTTCTTGCATATCACCACTACGACAACACCTTCACTGAACGACTATCTACCTAACCTCATTTGCGACATAGGTGATTACCAACGCACCCAACCCCGCCGTCCACCATTCAACTATAC